TTTCCAGAAAATGGCTTGTGAGCAAGACGCTAGGAATGCCAAATTCTACAAAAACATTACCAATATCAAAGAAGTAGTGACTGATAACTTTCTCTGCACTGGGGGACAGGACCCTGTGCTGGACCCCAATACATGCAAAGGTGAGGAGTAGTGGTGCTCTCTGCCGTTTCCTGGGTTTCTTATCTCTTTAGGCCTCTCGAAACCAAGCTACCTCCAAAGCTGATCTTGCAAGTCATAGTAGAGCAGCATTAGCAGGAAGGAAGGGAATTATTTATTAAAGATATTTAAGAATATAAAGGCAAGGAGATACTTTGTTTGCAAGGATCTGCCCTTCTGCTCCTTTTGGCTCTGGGCTGAAGTTATAATGGAGAGACACCTGGGAACAGAAAATTGGACTTTTCAACAGTAACATTCACATAAGCACACAACAGCAGGTATTAATATATTTCACTCTGAATACACTGTAAAATAGAAATAACAGAATGACAGAGTTGAAGGGACCTTGGAGGTCTTCTAATACAACTCCCTGCTCAGGCAGGAAGCCCTATATTTCACGGTCTTTCAGTGTAAATGCAACAGTTCATTAATATGCCTTGGTAAGGCCACACTTGGAATACTGCATCCAGTTTTGGTCACCACGATGTAAAAAAGATGTTGAGACTCTAGAAAGAGTACAGAGAAGAGCAACAAAGATGATTAGGGGACTGGAAGCTAAAGCATATAAGGAACGGCTGATGGAATTGGGTATGTCTAGTTTAACAAAGAGAAGGATGAGGGGGGACATGATAGCAGTGTTCCAATATCTCAGGGGCTGCCACAAAGAAGAGGGAGTCAAGCTATTCTCCAAAGCGCCTGAAGGCAGGACAAGAAGCAACGGGTGGAAACTAATCAAGGAGAGAAGCAACCTAGAACTAAGGAGAAACTTTCTAACAGAACAATTAACCAGTGGAACAACCTGCCTCCAGAAGCTGTGAATGCTCCAACACTGGAAGTTTTTAAGAAGAAACTGGACAGCCATTTGTCCGAAATGGTATAGGGTTTCCTGCCTGAGCAGGGGGTTGGACTAGATGACCTCCAAGGTCCCTTCCAACTTTATCATTATTATTATTTTTACATCCTCCTCCTCTAGTTTTTACATCACTGAATCACATCTACTTTTGGATACATGTTAATATCTGTCTAAAATTGTCCCATGAGTTGGATTCCTGTGTGAGTCATAGATCTGATCTCTCCATACCCAACTCAGTCCCTTGATTAAAGCCCTTTTTCTTTTGGCTTGCAGGAGATTCTGGTGGTCCTCTCATTGTTCAGAAAAAGTTGCGTTATGTTCAGGTGAGTGGTTAGTTCACCAAAACTGCTAGACCACAGCATGTGTGTGTGTGAATGCCCCAAATTCAACCTGTCGGCTTCAGATCATGGCCGGGATGAAATTCTTATTAACTTTCTGTTCCAAAGGTGCTTTTTTCAAGAGGCAAGTGGACTTTCTTTCTTTTTCCTTGAACCCATTTTGCTTCTCCTCTAAGAAGCTTCTTCAGTTCTTGGATGAGAAGCGAACTGAAGAAGCTTCGAGGATGAGAAGTGAAAACGTCTTCAAGGGGAAAAAAAACTCAAGAAAGTCCAGTTGCCTCTTGAAAAAGCACCTTCAGGACAACCATGACGGAAATGAATGAGAATCTCCATAGATAAATTATCTTTGTGCTATGTGTAAGTTGGCCGCGTGTCCCCCAGTTCCAAAAATTATCTTCAGACTGAATGTCCATTCGCAGCCATAATTTCATAAAGCAAAGTCACATAAGAGAGGGGTTTTTTTTCTTTATCTGATGTCGGTTTTCCTTCAACGAAAGCGGTCAGATTCCAGGATTGGATTTCTCATGTTTTTCTATCTCTTTTCTTCTGTAGGTTGGCGTGATTAGTTGGGGTGTGGTTGATGTCTGCGGTCACAATATTGCGACATGTGAGGAACCCGAAAAATTCCAGAGGCGTAGTCCCTCCTTTGCCAGGGATTATCACTTCAACCTCTTCAAAGTTATTCCTTGGCTCAGAGAAAAGCTGGCCGATGAGGGACTAGAATTCATCTAGAATTCTTGTTCTTCCCAGCCCACTCAGATGCTCTCTGTACATAGAAGTCATTCTCTTCAAATCTTGCTAAGTAAATTCTATGTCCGGGGTCTTCAAACTCGGCCCTTTTAGGACTCGTGGACTTCAACTCCCAGAATTCCTCAGCCAGGCACTCTGGCTGAGGAATTCTGGGAGTTGAAGTCCATCAGTCCTAAAAGGGCCGAGTTTGAAGACCCCTGTTCTACGTTAACAATGACTATCCAATGTAACTGTATAGACAAAAAATAAATAAATGTGATATGTGTTATCCTTTGCTTAGCTCCTATGTTGGGATGGTTGGGCTTAGTTTCTACACAGAAGCGTCTGCAAGGGGGGGGTCCAAAAAATCAAGATGGTGACTGCAACTGGGACCTTGAACCCAGTCTACGACGACTCACCACTACCTGATGGCAGCCCGCTCGCCCGCTCGCTTGTCCAGTTCTCATTGAGTTATCGTGGCTGCAACTTTCCAGTGTTGAGATGTCCTGCGAAGAAATGGCGGCACTGAGTTGGCAGAGACAACTTGGCAATGGCGAGAAGGCTGCCCCCTGCTGGCCGCCCCGAGGTAGCAGCACCGAGTCTTCCCAGAGGGCGCCTTGAGCCCTCTGCAGGTTATAATAGTCGTTTATTAATGTACCAGTCTTATGACAGCATCAAAAGATAAGATAAAATAAAAATAAAATGTAGCATCTAATTCAGATAAAAGAAAATACAGTACAGGTAGTCCTTGACTTACAACCACAATTGAGCCCAAACTTTCTGTTGCTGAGCAAGACCGTTGTTAAGTGAATTATGCCCCATTTTACGACCTTTCTCTGGTTGTTAACTGAATAACTGTGATTGTTAAGTAACACGATTGCTAAATGAATCTGACTTCCCCATTGCTTGTCAGAAGATCACAAAAGGAGATCACAGGACCATGGGACACTGCAACCGTCATAAATATGAATCATTTGACAAGTGTTTGAATTTTGATCACGTGACCTTGGGGATGCTGCAACGATTGTAAGCGTGAAAACCTTCATAGGTCAGGGTTTTTTTAACGCCATTGTAGCTTTGAACGGGCACTAAGTGAAGTGTTGTAAGTTGAGGACTGTCTGTAATGATATTAGAAGAATCAGCATTGAGATACAGGAACCCTTAATCTGTTCTATATAATGGATTCATAGCTCAAGTGCCTTAACTATAAACCTAGCAGTTCCATTCACAATGTATACATTACAGCCAAGGAGGAAATAGGACAATTTGCAATTCATATTCCAGTAGCCTAAGAAGGTCACACAATTGACAGTCTAAACAATAACACCGGTAGTTTTATTGAGCCCAAAATTTCTGTTGGGAAGTGAGACATTAGTTAACTGAGTTTTATGATCTTTGTTACCACAATTGTTAAGTGAATCACTGCAGTTGTTAAATTAGTAACACAGTTGTTAAGTGAAACTGGCTTCCCTATTGACTTTGCCTGTCAGAAGTTTGCAAAAGGGGATCACGTGACCCTGGAGCACTGCAACCGTCATAAATATGAGTCAGTAGCCAAGCGTCTGAATTTTGATAAAGTGACCATGAGGAGGATGCAAAGGTCATAAGTATGAAAAAGGGTTATAAGTCACTTTTTTCAGTGCCGTTGTAATTTCGAACAGTCACTAAATGAACTGCTGTAAATCAAGGACTACCTGTATTACACACGATAGCTCCCAATATCCGTAGCTGGCTGACCGGCCATACTCAGCGTGTGGTCCTCAATGGAACCGCATCTACATGGAGGGAAGTGTGTAGTTGGGTGCCCCAGGGCTCTGTTCTGGGCCCAGTGCTCTTCAACATCTTAATCAACGATTTGGATGAGGGGATAGATGGGGAAATCATCAAATTTGCAGACGACACCAAGCTGGCAGGAATAGCCAACACTCCAGAAGACAGGCTTAAGATACAGAAGGATCTGGACAGACTTGAACACTGGTAAGGTGACCAATCGTCCTCCTTTAGGGAGGACAGTCCTCCTTTTGTAAGTTCTGTCCTCCCTCGAAAAGTGTCCTCCTACATGTCTTCCTTTTCAATATTTGAAGACTAATCTGCAGGGCTTTTTTTTTCTCACAGAACGCTCAGAACGGCGTTCCGGCAACTTTTTTTTTCAACTTTTGCATGAGCTCTGCTACTCCCCCTATTGGCTTTCGAAAGCCAATAGGAATTGCTGCTGAGCGCGCCAAAACACCCGGCTGGCAAACTTTGCACATGCAAAGTTTCACTGTATTATTGTTGCAATGAATAAAATGTTTCTTTTATTTACGATATTTTTTCTTCAATTTATTTGTGTCCTCCTTTTCATTGTAAAAAAGTTGGTCACCTTAACACTGGGCGCTATCTAACAAAATAAAATTCAATGGTGAAAAAAGTAAGGTTCTACATTTAGGCAAGAAAAACCAAATGTACAGGTATAGTATAGGGGGTACCTTGCTCAATAGGGAGAGGGATCTCAGAGTCCTAGTGGACAATCATTTAAATATGAGCCAGCAGTGTGCTACAGCTGCCAAAAAAGCCAACACAGTGCTAGGCTGCATTAACAGAGGGATAGAATCAAGATCACGTGAAGTGTTAATACCACTTTACAATGCCTTGGTAAGGCCACACTTGGAATACTGCATCCAGTTTTGGTCACCAGGATGTAAAAAAAGATATTGAGACTCTAGAAAGAGTACAGAGAAGAGCAACAAAGATGATTAGGGGACTGGAGACTAAAACATATAAGGAACGGTTGCTGGAATTGGGTATGTCTAGTTTAATGAAGAGAAGGACGAGGGGGGACATGACAGCAGTCTTCCAATATCTCAGGGGCCGCCACAAAGAAGAGGGAGTCAAGCTATTCTCCAAAGTGCCTGAAGGCAGGACAAGAAGCAATGGATGGAAACTAATCAAGGCGAGAAGCAACCTAGAACTAAGGAGAAACTTCCTGACAGTGAGAACAATTAACCAGTGGAACAACCTGCCTCCAGAAGCGGTGAATGCTCCAACACTGGAGGTTTTTTAGAAGAAACTGAACAGCCATTTGTCCGAAATGGTATAGGGTTACCTGCCTGAGCAGGGGGTTGGACTAGATGACCTCCAAGGTCCCTTCCAACTTTATTATTATTATTATTATTATTATTATTATTATTAATAATAATAAATGTAAGTGGGGGAAAAAAGAGAGAACCAAACGAAGCACTATCTGGTAATCCATGTCTGTGTCTCTGTGTATATACAGGTGGTCCTCGACTTATTCATTTAGTGACCGTTCAAAGTTACAACCGCATTGAAAAAAGAGACTTATGACCCTTTTCCACACTTTGCGACTGTTGCAACATCCCCAGGGTCCGCGTGATCAAAAATCGGATGCTTGGCAATTGATTCATATTTATGACGGTTGCAGTGCCCGTTTTGCGACCTTCTGACAAGCCAAATCAAGGGGGAAGCCAGGTTCACTTACCAGCTGTGTCACTAACTCAGCAACTGCAGCGATTCCCTTAACAACTGTGGCAAGAAAGGTGGTAAACTGGGGCAAAGTTTACTTAACAACTGTCTCAGCAACAAAAAATTTGGGCTCAGCTGAGGACTACCTGTAACGACATGGTAATGACATAGCTCAGTGGTGGCAAACCTATGGCACGGGTACCAGAGGCGGCACTCAGAGTCCTCTCTGTGGGCACGCGTGCTGTTGCCCCAATCCTAGGCCTTCAGCTGGTTTTTATAAAACCTTTTCGCTTTAGGCCTCCGCCGCCATGTGCAAAAACAAAAAAAAAGGTTCAATCAGTCAATTTCAACTTCTTGTGGGGAAAAAAAAGATCTTGCAAAGTTGGAATTGATTGATTGAACTTTTTAGTCCCACCCAGTCTGCTGTTACCACCGCAGCCACGCCCACCCAATTGGCCACACCCAGCCAATGGGCCACACCCACCCAGCACTCGACGATGCATAAGTGGGTTTTGGGTTGCAGTTTGGGCACTCAGTCTCTAAAAGGTTCGCCATCACTGGGATAGCTGTTCACATTTTTGGTATTACAGTTTCTCCAGAGTCAGAATAATATCTCAGTACTGGGGAGGAGGGCATTTCAAAACTATTGCCCTGAGAATATCAGGAAACGTCGCAATGAGCTGAGATTGGATAAATCATTATCCAAGTACACGAATCTTTCAGGTCACTGCCACTGTTGAGTCCTTGCCAGGATGTAAGAATTGCCCAATTTGAAGTTAATCTCAGTATTACAGTTCATTTCATGGGAAGAGATGAGAGGAGGTGGAATCATAACCAGGGAGACGAATGGGGAAATGTTCATTGTGATGGAGTGATTTGCAACAAATGCCAGGAGTTTCATCATTTGACCAGTTTCCATGAGATGCCTACAAGGGATGTTCATTTTATAGGTCCATAGGATTTCGGTTTTGCCACAGACTAAATTCTAGAGAGCACCACTTCAGGTTAGAGATAGGGGTGATATTATGAAAAGTCTGACCTAGAGTCAGAATCTCTGTTGGGGCCAGTGTGTGAGGAAGAGATATAAAGTGAGTCATTAACATCTTAATCAGAATAGAGCTGGAAGGGACTCGGAGGTCTCCAACTCCCTGTTCAAGCAGGAGACCCTATATCAGTGATGGCGAACCTTTTAGAGACTGAGTGCCCAAACTGCAACCCAAAATCCACTTATGCATCGAGTGCCAGGTGGGTGTGGCCCATTGGGTGGGCGTGGCCCATTGGCGGCGTGGCTGCGATGGTAACGGCAGACTGGGCGGGACTAAAAAGTTCAATCAATTCCAACTTTGCAAGATCTTTTTTTTACCGTGAGAAGTTGAAATTGACTGATTGAAACTTTTTTTTTTTTGCACGCGCCCTAAAGCGAAAAGGTTTTATAAAACCCAGCTGAAGGCCTAGGACTGGGGCGACGGCATGCGTGCCCACAGAGAGGGCTCTGAGTGCCGCCTCTGGCACGCGTGCCATAGGTTCGCCACAACTGCCCTATATCATTTCATGCAGGTGGCTCTCCAGTCTCTTAATAAAAACCTCCAGTGATAAAGTATCCAAAACATCTGACAGCAAACTGTTCCACTGTTTAATTGTCCTCACGGTTAGGAAGTTTCTCCTTAATTCCAGGTGGCTTCTCTCCTTGAGTAGTTTCCATCCATTGTTTCTTCTCTTGCCTTCTGGGGCTTTGAAAAATAAGTTGACCCCTCTTCTCTTTGTGGCAGCCCCTCCAGATGTTGTGGGTGCTCCATCACTGGAAGTTTTTAAGAGGAAACTGGACATCCATTTGTCCAGAATAGTACAGGGTCTCCTGCTTAAGCAGGGGGTCAGATTAGAAGACCTCCAAGGTCCCTTC